GTGGCACCACCACCACCAGGGGAATGACTATGCTACAATCCCTTCTCCTCCATTCTCCTCTTGGGATTTGGGGGTGTGCATGTGCTTGCAACTGATGTGTTTTTCAAGTTGCAGGGCCTGGGACTTGAACAGCATAGTTGCCCAGGTGGGATCCGTGTTCACCACCACGCCACCTAGCTGGTCCCTCCCTGGGTGAGTCTAATGTGCAGTCTTTGCCTTTAAGTCATAACTCAAGGAAGAAAGAACTTGGTACTGGGAACCTCAGGATGTGGTTTTCTGCTTTGCACTTCCAGCTTTGTGACCTTGGACAAGTCACATGATCTCTGTGGACCTCAGTGTCCACCTCTTTGAGCCAGAGCCAGTAATACCCACTGCCTCGCATACCTCACAGGATTGTAATGAGGATCAAATGCCTAAGCGCCCTGGGAACTGTGAGGCATTGTCTAATGGGCAGGATAATCATATCAGGTGCGTCGTCTCGGGTTACTCTGATCTGCTTGGCTTAGCTGCAAGTACTGCTAAGGCTCTGCCAGGGACTTTCTGTTTTGCCCTCAGGCTGGTCCACATCCTATAGCATTTGCTGGGGTCAGTCTACTCTTTGGCCTGCTTCCCATGGCACCAGCCCCCTCGGAAGCTGAGTCGTCACTCTCTCCTCTTTAGGGACCCAGGAATGTTGGATTCTGCCTGCCTAAAGCAGTGATTGCCAGCCAGGGCTGCACCACCCTGTGGGAAGCCTCCTCTCATGGAAACCTCTGGGGACACCTGTGTGGTCTGAGAAAGCACATTCAATATTACACTTAGATATCTGGAAATGGTGTGAAGGGATGGGGCAAGAAACCGGCTCTGATTGCTTTGCCAAAATGAATCTCAGAAAGTAAAGCTTGGTCCTCTTGCTTTTCTGCAGATTCTGTAATGGCTGGAGAGGAAGGGGACCCAAAGTGGGGGTTGGAGACAGAAGGGGAAGGAAGAAATAGGCCAGCGATTGTTGTGGGTCTGCAGGGCAGGCAGGTTTAAAGAGAGTGAGGAACACCTCCCCATGCACCTTGCTCTCAGGTGGGATGTTTTCCTGTAAGTGGAGGAACTCAGGACCCACACAGCAGGAGCTCTGCCTGCAAATCTCCCAGGTACCCTGCGTAGCTCACACTCAGACCTTGTGCGGGACAGGTGGCCCTTGCTCTGTTCACCTCACATTCTCTGACCCATCTTCTCCAGGGCTCCACCCCAATGATGGGCTCTTCTTCCACCTTGTGCTCTTGAGGCTTCCCCGCACCACCAGGGGCTGCTGGTCCTGGCCTTCTCAGGGCCTCGCAGGAAAAGGCCTGAACAGTGCAGTTTTCAGTTTTTCTCCATCAAAGACCCTCATATCTTAAGAGGTTGCAGAAAAAGCACACTCAATATCTTAGGTAAAAACGTTTCCATTTTAGTCTAAGATTTATTATCATAGGATCATCATACATTGTCTTCCCACTTTTCTGATTCCTCTCGCCTGCTCTAAGCCTATGACACCTATCTTCTAACATGCTATATAAGACTTTGCTTATTTATTATCTGTCTCCCATCACCAAAATAGAAGTTCCTCGAGGATAGGGATTTTGTGTTTTGTTCACTGAGGTATCCTTACTGTCTAGCAGAGTGGTTGGTACATACAGGTTCTAAATATTTGTTGAAAGAATGAGCAAAATGTCCATACCTGTCACCATTAGACCGAGTTTCACGAGGTAGGAGCAAAACCCATTTTCTTCTCCACTTACTCAGTGCCCAGCAAAGGGTCTGGCACAATGAAGGCACTTCATAAATATCAACATGGTAGCTTGGCATGCCATTTCTTGACATTTATCTATAGATCTATCATGGTGCAAATATGCACATGATTATTAATTGCAGCATTCTTGCCAAAACAAAACTACTGGAAACCAAGACACGCAGTCACAAGAACTGGGTTAAATAAATGAGTACTCCACATAGTGGGTAGTAGGCAGCTATTAACAAGGATGAGGTAGGTCCAAGCATAGATTCAGACAGGTGTCCAAGATAGATTATTATTATTATTATTTTTGGAGAGGTTTTTGCCATAGGACGTGTGCTCACCAGAAAGACAGAGAGACAGAAAGCGAGAAATCAACCTCCAGGGGGGAGGGCCACTCTGCAATCTCTTCTCCTCCATTCTCCTCTCGGGATCTTGGGCGCACCTGGTATGAGTTTAAGCCACCGGGTTTGGGACTCGAACTACGGTCGGCTACATGGGAGTTCAGCGACATAGCCATTATGCTAACTGCTGTTCCCCCAAGATAGATTATTAAATGAAGAATTTAAGAACTCTAGGTACAGAACCATATAAACCTACATATTTAAATCAAGATGAAATGTGTTTGTATACATCTAGCTTAAAGAAGTCTTTAACAGTGGTTATCTCTAGTGAGTAGAGATGGGAGATTCTTTTTACTTTTTTTAAGAGGTTTTTGCCACAGGGTATATGCACTCTCTGGGGAGAGAGATACAGAGAGGGAAAGTGAGAAATCACCACTCAGGGGAGATGGCCAGACTGCAACCCCTTCTCTATTCTCTTGGGATCTTGGCCATGCATGCACAGTGAGTTTAAAGCCACCGGGTCTGGGATTTGTACCGCAATTAGCCATATGGGAATCCAGCAAAGTAACCACTATGCTGTTAGCTGGCTCCTTTTTTTTAGATTTATTGAATTATTATTTTTAAATAAATTTGTTATAGGGCATGTGTGCTCACTGGACAGACAGAGAGAGTGAGGGAAAAATGAGAAAGCAAGCCTCCAGGTCCAGGATTTGAACCATGGTTAGCCATGTGGGAGTCCAGTGCCTTAACTAACAGGCCACCTGCGGCCAAGATGGGAGATTCTTAATTTCTTTGTTTCCTCTTGGATTTTGTGCATATTACTTTTTAAAAAAAATTATTTTATTTAACATTATTTACTTTTTTTTTTTTTAACTTGACCAGAGAGGGACAGAGTGAGAGAGAGAACAAGAGAGCAAGAGAGAAAGCAAGCAAGCCACCAGGTCTGGGACTCAAACCACAGTCGGCCATGTGGGAGTTCAGCGCCCTTAACCTCCATGCCACCTGCCAGCCCTGCATATTACTTTTTTAGTAAAAAAGATGAATTACTGGAGCCAACAGGTGGCATGGTGGTTGAGAGCGCTGGACTCCCACATGGCCAACTGAGGTTCGAGTCCCAGACCTGGCAATTTGCTTTCCTACTTTCTCTGTCTCTCTCACTCTGTCTCTCTCTGGTCAAATTACAATAAATCAATAAAGATAAATAAAATAATTCTTTTTTTTGGAGAGGTTTTTGCTATAGGGCGTGCACACTCACCAGAAAGAGAGCAAGAAATCGCTCCCCAGGGGAGATGGCCACACCGCAATCCTTTCTCCTCCATTCTCCTCTCACGATCTTGGGCACACATGCACACGTGCCCAGTGTGAGTTTAAGCCACTGGGTCCGGGACTTGACTTGTGGTTGACTACATGGGAGTCCAGCGACATAGCCATTATGCCAACTGCTGGTCCCAATAAAATAATTATTTAAAAAAATTATCTTCCAGGGACCAGCAGGTAGGATGGTGGTTAACATGCTAGACACATTCACATGGCCAACTATGGTTCAAGTCCTGGACCTAGTGGTTTGATTTCTCACTTTCTCCCTGTCTCTGTGTCTCTCTCTGGTCAAATTAAAATAAATAAATGAACAAATAAAATTAAATAAATACTTTTTAAAATTATCTTCCAAATCAAAGTAATTTTAGACACATCTATTGTTTCCTTGTTTTCACTGCTAGTTGCACAGTTACAGTCACAAGCACATTTACTTTATTTTTATTTAACTGTATTTATATAGTTTAATTTGACCAGAGAGGGAGAGAGTGAGAAAGCAAGTCACCAGGTCTGGGATTTAAACTACCATTGGGCCATGTGGGAATACAATGCCCTTAATCACCACCCACACCCCTTGTCAGCTCCACATTCACTTTAAGAGCCCACTGTTCCCTA